TTTTTTGGAAAAAATCAATCACTTTGGGGAAGCATCACTCATTTTTGAGAAGAATCGGTCATTTTAGGGGAGAATCACAAATTTTGGGTGAGAAACATTCATTTTGGGGGAGAATCACAAATTTTTGGGGAATATCGCTCGTTTTGGGGGGAGAATCACTCATTTTGGGGGAAGAATCACTCATTTGGGGAAAGTCACAAATTTGGGGGAGAATCACTCATTTTTTGGGAGAATCGCTCATTTTGGGGGGAATCCCTCATTTTTAGGGAAGAATCACTCATTTTGGGGGAAAATCACTTGTTTTGGGGGAAAATCACTTTTTTGGGGGGAGAATCACTCATTTTGGGGGAAGAATCACTCATTTTGGGGAAAGTCACTCATTTTGGGGGAGAATCATCCATTTGGGGGGAGAATCATTCATTCTGGGGGAAAAATCAATCATTTTGGGGGAGAATCACTCATTTTGGGGGAAAAATCACTCATTTGGGGGGAGAATCGCTAATTTTTGGTGGAAAAATCAATCATTTTTGGGGAAAAATCAGTCATTTTGGGGAAGAATCACTCATTTTGATGGAGAATCACTCATTTTGGGGGAGAATCACTCATTTTTGGGAGAAAGTCCCTCATTTTTGGGAGCAAATCATAAATTTAGGGGAGAGAATCATTTTTGGAGGAGAAACACTCATTTTTAGAGAGTATTGCTCATTTTTTGGAGGCATTGCGCTCATTTTAAGGGGGCACCATTCATTTTTGGGGGAAAAATCCCAGCTTTCGGACTTCGAAAGCACAGATTTGTGGCCACAAATCACCTATTTGAGGAGAATTTTGCCCGTTTTTGGGAGGTTCTTCACCCATTTTCGGGCTCCTCCGGAGCCACCAAGAAAATAACGGCTGCGCAAGCTCATCTCGTAGCACTTTATCATAATAAATGGCCATGAATTAATACTAAATTACAATGAATCCTTTATGAAATTACAGATTACATTCACACCAGATTGGTATCGAAAAATAGGCTTTTTCTGCCCATCTTTTTTGTGTTTTTTTTCTTTTCCCCCCACCCCCCCGGCTGCTGTTTTGTTTGTTCTCACCCAATGAAGGAAAAAACACCTTTTTTTCCCCGTTTTGTCCTGAATCGGTACCAAAAAACACGGGGAAAGTCTCACTCCCCACCTCTGCGTCCAGTCTCAGCCCTTAAGAACGAGGATGGGGGTTCTCTCAGCACATAAATTAAAAGATTTTGGGGGGGATTTCCTCATTTTTCATTAAGTTGGAGTCAAACGGCCGCAGCATCAGTGGGTCAAGAGCGCGAAACCCTCCTCAGATCCAACCCAACGCAGATTTTGCGTTGGTTTTCCTTTTCTCTTCCAGTGAATTGGGTTTTTTTTTCAGGAGGGAACTCCCAACAAATCCTCAGTCCTGGGGTTGCTCATGGGGTTTGGTTGGTTTGGGGGTTGATTTTTTTTCTTTCCGCACCGAGGAATCGGGGCGACGGATCTGGCGTTGCGCGGGAAACGCCTTCCTTGAGGCAAAAAACGTGTTTTTCTTACCAAAAGCAAAGGGGAGAAAAATTAAAACCTGGGGGAAAAAAAGGAAAATTTCATCTGGCCACAATATGTGCCTTGTAAACACGCGTCCTTCAGCTGGCGGAGACGCCGCTGGCGCCTCCGCTTCGCATTTTCCTCGACGATTTTGTCTTTCTTGCCCTTTTTTTTGGCATTTCGAGGCAGGGAGGGGGGTCGCGTTGTCCGGTGCTGTCCGTGATTTGGAGGAGCTACTCCAGCGAGTCACTGTGGTCCAAGCCGAGGTCAGCGGTGGGCGCCCCGCCGGGCTCTTCCTCCAGCTCGTCCTCCTCTTCCTCCTCCTCCTCCATCTCCTCCTCGTCCTCCTCCTCCTCCTCCTCCTCTTCCTCGGTGCCGTCGAGGGAGTCGTCGTGGGCGGCCAGCATGGCCTGCTGCATGGCCATGGTGGCCGTGGCCGACGAGAGGGGTTGCAGGTTGTCCATGCTGAGCGAGCCTGAAATTAGGGGAGGAAAAAAAACCCAAATGAATAAGGACTCTCTAGGTGATACAAAATGGGCCAAAAAGTGAATAAAAGTCCCCCTGTGAGGTGTCCCACCTGCCCCAGCCCCTCCCCAAGCTCCAACCCTCAACATTTCAGCTCGTTTCTCTTCATTGACTAAGCAGGAGCTGTGATTTTTGAGCGAGTGATGCCAAAGCTGGCTGGGCAGACCTGCTCTTCTTCTTCATTTCCACCTTCCATCCTGTCTGCAGCTTGTCTTGGCCCTTCCCATCTCCACTGTCTTCATCTTCTCGTGATCTCCTCTGCTCCTCCTCATCGACATCTCACCGTGGTGATGAGAACATCTCTCACCATGTCTGTCTTCTCATCTCCAGCTTCGCTGCTCTTCACCTTCATCCTCAGTTCTCTCTTCATCTTCTCTTCATCTTCTTCTTGTCTTGTTTCATCTGTCTTCTCATCATCTTTCTTTTTCTTTCATTTCCTCTCCCCTTTCATCCCCACTCCAGCACCTCAGCAGACATCCCAAGTGACGGGCAATCCTTGAGGGCTGTTCCAACATTTTTGTGATGGCCAGCTGGAAGAACCTTCTTGCATGAGCCTCTTCAACATTTTTTCCCCGTAAAGCGCTCTTAGAAATCCTTAATGACCAATTAAGGCCAATTAACGTCCGCCCAACCCCAGTTTGTCCTTACCGTCAGGATTTGTCCCCGAGTTGCCGCCCTGCTGCTGCAGGACCCCCGCAGCGATGGAGTTGGGCCAAAAACGTTGGGTGGGCCGGTGCTGAGATTTGATCTTCTTGGCTTTGGGGGCCGGGGCGGGGTTGCTGGTGTCGTGTATCTGCTGGGGGTGCGCCGCCGGGCGTTGATGAACCTATCGCAGGCAAAGAGCAGCCGGTAGAGAAAAAGAGGAGTTACACGACAATTCAATGAGGCGCAACACAAAGCCCCTTCAAAATTGGGCCAAAAACCCCTGATTTTGCCCTATTTTATCCCTTATATTATTACATTATTTTTTCCAGACGAGCTGGAGGCTGCTACACCCCGAGTTTGCCAGGAGAGGGCACTGGGACATCACCAATGAACCATCTCCGAGGTCTTCTCCCAAAACACTGGCTTAATTCCCCCCTAGAAAGCGTTATCCACCACCAAAATAACGCAAGGAAACACTACAAGAAGCTCACCAGTTGTTGACTTGCAAGAGGGTGAGGTTGGTTTGGGCAGCGATTTGTCTCTTCTCGTCCTCCGTGGGGTAGGGGTGCTAGGGAAAAAAAGAAAAAAAAAGATCCAAATGAGAGATGGGGCAGTAAAGTGACCTCATCATGTGCAAAAGGGCAGCCTCGAGTGGAAATAAAATGTGAAAAAACCCCACTCTTTTGTTCATTTTCCCACCCCCAAGTTGAGTGGATGCGGCAAGAGGCCACCCTGAAATACCTGCAGTGAGAAACCACTGGCAACAGCCTTCTGCCAGCTGTGCCAAAATCCTCCTTTCCAACCTCAGAAATGACATTTATGCTCAAAGCAGCCTCACGTATCATTTTGGCGTTGATCCGCATGACTCGTTTTCCAGCTTTTTGCCCCCAATGGAACGTGGTTTCCTTGACAAACCCCCTGAAATCAGGGTGTGCTGGAGACGTCTGTCCCAACGGGGGCACAAAAATGGTTAAAACAATTTTGGGGGCAAAATTATGACCGTTTTTGGCACATTTTTCCCAGCAGCCCTTCCCCTGCTGGTGCTACCACGCTTCCAAGCCCAATAAAATGAGCATCAGAGCCTATTGGGTTAAAAACCACCTCAGCTATGGTGTCAGGTGGAGAAATCCCACTGGAAGCATCTTTGGACCGCACGGACCAGCTGAGAGCAAAGGTTCAACTGTGCAGGAGAGGTAAATTTCTTCATTTTTTTGCTCCACTTTTCGTTCTCCCAGCACCCAGCAGGAAACATCGCCTCGGTTTCTGGTCTTCTAAATCCTTTTCCGTTTGCGAATCGGCAATCCAGCTCACAAAACGCGTAGGAGATGCACGACACAGCTTGGGCTGGTGGCCTGAGGCAGTGATGCTCTTGTCCTTGACACAATGAATCCAAAAATCTTGGCCATCTTGAGGAAAAAAGGGGTTTTTATAGATTTTTGCTTCAGCTCAGATGCAGAACTCCTTGCATGAAGAGATCTTCCGAGCAGTGTCCGTCCACCTACATCTTCAACCCCCAAAATGGGGCGATTTTGTGCTGGTTTTTGACTGTAGGGGCAGATTTTGCACCCTGGAAAATGATGATTTTGGAGTTGTTAATTGGGAAAAAAATGCTCCGGCACCCATCAGTGATAATTTGTGGAAGTCTCTGTCTGGTTTTGTTCACTTCATGCATCGAAGGTTTGGCTGCCTGCTGGGAAAAAGGTCATCTCCAAAATACTCCCCAAATAAAACCCAGCATGCTTTGTGCCTCCAGACAAAGCACCACCTCGATTTGTTTGGTTTGGGGCGGGGGGTTTGGCCTTTTTTGTTTGGTTTGGGGGGGGGGGTTTTGGCCTTTTTTTCCCGTTTTTGGGAGCTGCAGTGCTCACCATGAGATGCTGGAAGAGCCATGAGCGCATGATGTTGGTGGCGTGTTTGGGCAGGACACCCCGCTTGTTCTTGGACTTCTTGTCCTCGCCGTCGAGGAGGGAGGTGAGATCCAGGTTAACCTGCCGGGGGAGAGCGACGAGGGGAGAATGAGCAAAACCAATCCAAAAAATGAGCAAACTCAACCCTAAAATGAGCAAAACCAGCCTAGAGAAGGAGCAAATCCAAAGAACAGACAAAGTCAACTCAGAAAAAGTGCAAAGCCAACACCAAAATGAGGAAAACCAACCCAAAGAACAAGCAAAACTAGCCCAGAGAAGGAACAACCCCAAAAAATGAGCAAAATCAACCCAAAAATGAGCAAAACCACCCCAAAGAATAAGCAAAGCCAACCCGGAGAAGGAGCAAAACCAAAGAACAAGCAAAATCAACCCAAAAAAAGGGCAAAGCCAACCCCAAAGAATAAGCAAAGCCAACCCAGAGAAGGAGTAAAATTAGCTCAGAGAAGGAGCAAAACCAAAGAACAAGCGAAATCAACATGAAGAAAGAGCAAAACCAGCCCAACAAGCAGCAAAACCACCTCAAAGAACGAGTAAAACCAATCCAGAGAAGGAGCAAAACCAAAACAAAATCACCCCAAAAAAAGGGCAAAGCCAACCCAAAAATTATCAAAAACAACCCAAAAATGAGCAAAACTAACCCTAAAATGAGCAAAAACAACCCAAAAATGAGCAAAACCACCTCAAAGAATGAGTAAAACCAACTCAGAGAAGGAGCAAAACCAAAGAACAAAACCACCCCCCAAAAAGTGGAAAACCAATGCAAAAATGAGCAAAACCACTCCAAAGTATGAGCAAAACCAACCCAGAGAAGGAGCAAAGCCAAAGAACAAGCAAAATAAACCCAAAGAATGAGCAAAATCACCCCAACAATGATTAAAAACAACCCAAAAATGAGCAAAACCACCCCAAAGAATGAGCAAACCAAAGAACAAGCAAAAGAAGCAAAAAATTAGCAAAACCAGCCCAACATTGAGCAAAAACAACCCGAAAAAGAGCAAAACCACCCCAAGAATGAGTAAAGTCAACCCAGAGAAGGAGAAAAACCAAAGAACAAACAAAACCAACCCCAAAAAAGGGCAAAGTCAACCCGAAAATGAGTAAAATCAACCTAAAGAATGAGCAAAACCAGCCCAAAAAAACAAGCAAAACCAAGGAATGAGCAAAATGAACCCAAAGAGTGAGGAAAAAAGAACCCAGAAAAGGAGCAAAACCACATTAATGAGCAAAGTTAACCCCCAACAAGTGTAAAACCAACCCAAAAATGATTGAAAACAACCCAAAAATGAGCCAAACCAACCCAAAAAAACCAAGGAAACCCAAAGAACAAGTAAAATCAACCCAAAAAGAAGTGTAAAACCACCCAAAAAAAGTGCAAAACCAATCCAAAACTGAGCAAAACCAACCCCAAAAAACCAAGCAAATCCAAAGAATGAGCAAAACTAATGGAAAAAAATCAGAAAAGCCACCCCAAAAAATTACCAAAACCAAGGCAGAAAAGGAGCAAAACCAAAGAGTGAGCAAAACCAAATGAAAAAATGAGCAAGACGAGCAAAACCAAGCCAAAAATTATCCAAGCCAACCGGAAAAATGAGCGAAAACAACCCAAAAATGAGCGGAATCAAGCTGAAAACCAAGCAGAACCAATCCCAAACGGGAGTGGGGTGAGTCCCAAGAACAAGTACTCGCTGGGAGAGTCCAAAATCCCTTTTGTCCCCCACCAAAAAATGGCATTAAGTCCACGTTTTGCCCATTTTTGTTTAACATCTCCTTTCAACGAGGACGCAGGAAATCTCAGCACTTGAGTTAAAAAGGGAATTTTTATTCTTTTATTTCTTTTCCCCCCCGAGCTCTTCATCAAAATCGCTGCTCCTGGATGAATTAAACATCAGGCCGGCAGGTTCCGGCGATTCCCCCGGGCTCTGGCTTGAATCAGTCAGGCCGGTGGCATGGGAAGAGCACGCGGAGGTGCTTGTCCGGGGCTCCCTCCCTGCCCCGATATTCCCCGCGCACGCGTTTTTCCCACCGCGGAGCATTCGCCATGACATCAGAGCCCGCCACGGAGAGAAATTTTTTAAAAATGCCATTTCTTTTGAATTTTTTTTTCTCAGCCGCGTGGGGAAAACCCGTGTGGATCGTCGCGACGACAAAAAAATAAGGGGTGAAAGCGGCTGGAAAATCCCCCAAAATCCAGCAAGCAAGGGGGGAGGAAAAAAAATAATTCGATTTTCCCAGGAGCGCTGCGGTTGCTGAAGGGGCCGGGTGCTGCCGTGATATTCCAGATCCAGAATTCAAAAACAATAAAATGTATCGTATCCTATCAGACCTTCTAGATTCTAATTCTAGATTCTGTGCTCTATAGTCTGTTCTGGGTTTTAATTCAATATATTCTGTCCTATATTCTGTGTTCTATAAACTGTATTTTAATTCTATATTCTGTTTTCTCTATTCTCTATTCTCTATTCTCTATTCTATATTCTATAATCTGTATTCTAATTCTATATTGTGTGTTCTCTATTTTATATTCTATATTCTATATTCTATTTCTATATTTTCTGTTCTATATTCTAGCCCTATATTGTGTCCTATATTCCATGTTCTATATTCTATATTCTGTGTTCTATATCCTATGTTCTACATCCTACACCCCACGTTCTGTATTCTCTATCCTGTATTTCGCATTCTGCCTCCTGCATTGCGTTCTCCAAGTTTTATTGTCATTCTCTTCTCATCTTTTCGACACTTTTCTGACAGAATTACAGAACTACACCGTTTCCCGGCCCAGCATCGCTCCCGTTCGTCAGGGCGCCGCCCCACTTTGGCAGGTTCCCCCAAAAGCTTTAATTTAATCAACTTTTCTCATAAATTCAAAAATCCAGGCTACCTCCCTGGCTTGAATTTACCAAAACCCTGATCTTTTTTGTCGTTGTTCCCATCTCACCTGGGCGTTGGGGATGGGCAGGGCGCCGGGGGCGATGGCTTGGGCGAGGACCTGGCCCTGCGACGTCACCATCGTCACGGGCTGGTACAAAGCTCCACCTACAGAAACCAAAAAACAAACGGGTGTGAACCCAAACCCCTTCGAATTTTCCCCAAACCCACGCCCAGCTCTCCGGATCGCTA